AGAGAGAGAGAGAGAGAGAGAGAGAGAGAGAGAGAGAGTAAATAGATCCAGAGTTTGTTGGGGGGCGTGGCAAATGAGAATGTCCTGAAACTATAGTGATCTTCATGATTCTAGAAATCATTGAGTCGTCTACTCTATTTTTTAAATGTAGATTTTGATTTTATGCGTGCATGTGGTCTGTATGGGGTGTGTGCACATGAGTTTGGTTGCCTTTAAAGTCCAGAAGTTGGTCTTGGATTTTCTGCAGCTGTAATTGTGGATGGTTGGGAGCCACCCAACATGGGTACTCAGTACTGAACTCAAATCCTCTGAGTAATACATAACACTAACTACAATGAGAAAAGTGGTAACTACAGTAAAGAAACATGGCAGTATCACTCAGTGAATGTTAACACCAACGGGAACAGGAGACAAGGGTTCTGTGGGTCTTCTGTAGGATGGACACAAACCACTTTGCTCACCTGTGCCAAGAATGCAATCCAACTCTGAAGGTGAATAGCAGGAAGTCTAAACTGAGAAATTCTATTAAGGAAATCTATGTTGTTAAGCAAGATAATCAGTAATAATGGACCAAAACCTTTCTAGTTTAAAGGAAATGGAAAAAATCGCACAGCCTAAATGTAACCTGGGCCCTGCATCAGGAGAAAATGTTAAAACCCACAACTGTAGAACCGAGAGGATGGCTCAATGGGCACAGTGCATAATCTGTAAGCCTGAAGACCCGAGTTAGGATCTCCAGAAAAATGGTGTAAGGTCTGTAGATGAGAGAACAGGACTGTGACAATATTAATTTCCTGAGTTTGATCATTGTACTGTATTTATTTAGATTTTAGGAAATACAGATGGAATTTTTTTTTTTATGAGAAAGGGATGTCTGCACTTAACGCTCAAATGGTTAGATAAAAAAATTATGTGTGTGTTGGTGCCCAGGCCCATGGTACAAGAAACATTATTTTTTTTTGAAGTCAGTGCAGAACTTTGAACAGTTAGATGGAGAAGCACAAATCAACACAGATGGTAGACGGCCGACACAGAAGGAGGCACCTCCTAGAAGGGTCAGTGTGGGGGGCACCTAGGAGGAGCATCCCCCTAGACGGATTAGTGTGGGTGGCACCTAGGAGGAGCATCCCCTAGATGGGTCAGTGTGGGGGCACCTAGGAAGAGCATACCCCTAGATGGATCAGTGTGGGTGTCACCTAGGAAGAGCATCCCCCTAGATGGGTGAGTGTGGGTGGCCCCTAGGAGGAGCATCTCCAGCACTCACAGGCTTCCATGAAGACAGTGCATTTCTCCCTCCAGCAGTGCCAGGAAGCCTGCTGTTCCCGTGAGCATCTATTCATAACTCTATGACTCCAACCTGTTGAAGTCTCTTAAGATTGAGAAAATTGCTATGAAATGAGAAAAAAATGCATGACAACCAACGTATACTCTTCCCCAAGAGTTCAGAGCAAAAATAGACTGATTCTGCTGGACAGTCATTTGTCATTTTGATTGTTATTCCCCAGCCCAAACAAAGTGCTGGGAAGAACAATTACATTCCATGTTTTTATGTTAGTTTTATTAAGCTAAGAACACAACAATAAATATCATAGAATATTTAATCATGATAAAATAGAAAGGGTGGTGGGAATCTCACAGTGTTGAAATTCCAGGGTGTCTGTGTGGGATCATCTCTTGTCACATCGGTAATCAGGTTGTGAAACAGTCAACACCATCACATGGGAGGTAGCATCCATTTTAACTTGTGTATTTTCTATGGCATTGACTCACCTTAAAGTTTTTACAGTATAAAGGGAAAGGAGAGATCAACTTACTTATGCAGTTTCCTTTTTTCGTAAGTGAGAAAATCATGCCCTTTGTTATTTAACTCAAAACCTGGCAGCGAGGAATTATTTCATGATGTTCCACACTCCCTCTCTCCCTGCTGTGAGACCTGGCATGTGATGATCCTTGATTAGGAAGAAATCTTACTCCCATCACATTGTGATGGATGGAGCCTGACTTAGCCCATGCAGGTCAACACAAGGAACTCTGTTTTCTCTACATATTTATTAAATCAACTAACATAATGCAAGGGAATTTTAAGAATCAGATATTTAAACTCCTTCCTTTCTGCTCCGCTAAAATTCATTTAGGAATCTCTCCCATAGTGTCTCTGTGAGATGCTCTTCACTGAACCAGATTTGGAATATTTGAAACTTCCAAGAGGTTATAGATGCTTCTATGATTCTTTTGTTTTGCTTTTTGAAATGGAATTTCACTGTATAGCCCTGGCTGTCCTGAAACTCACCTTGTAGACCAGACTGGCCTTGAACTCACAGAGTTCTGCCTGCCTCTGCCTCCTGAGTGCTGATCAGTTTCAAACTTGTTGAGTGAATAAATGTCCCAAGACCCTCAAATACCACATAAACCATTTTCAGGGTCTTTGTTTTCAGCTCAGCATAGCTGTCCATTGTTTTCTTTTGCACTCTTCTCTTGTCAGATTAACTGTCTCGTCTAGCCATGTGGCACCTATTTGTCCATGGATGATGTTGCAGTCTGGCCTGGGATGGGGAGGGCGAGATGGAGAGGAATCATAGCGTGAAGGACAGAGAAGACACCATGAAATCTTCCTGCAATCTTACTGCTAAAGACACCATATGCTGTGCTTTCAGGGGACAGAGAAATCAGGCTGAAGTTGATTGGATGCTTCCTTCATCCCAGGTAGCCCCCTGTGGTGGTTTGGTTGAGATTGTCCCTCATAAGCTCAGAAGTTTGAACACTTCATTCCTAGTTGTAGGCCATATTTCTTATTGATGTAGCAGCCAGGCTCTGAAGCCATTGGGCTGATCCGAAGTGATCACGTAGCACTGCAGACAGGCCGTCTCTGCCTGACAAAGGTCAGGATGTTGGTTGCTCCTTTCTTTGTAATTTAGAGGATGTCTTATAGAGATGCTAATTCAAGCCTGCGTGACAGCTTGCATACTCAGCAGACAGGTAGATGGGATGTGACAAAAGGCCATTCACCTGATTGCCTACGTGACAGAATGCTGGTGTATTTTCCCGCCCAGTTTATGTATTGGTATAAAAGATGTTTGGAGAATAAACACAGGGAGATCTTCAGGAGGAAGAATCCTGAGATGCCCCTTTTTGTAATAATGGTGTCTGCTGTGTCTGGTTATTCCTTGCGCCTCTGTACCAGTCCAGTTAGGGAAAATAAATATCTGTGTTGGAGCTACATGGGCTCCAACACTAGATGATAGTGCTGTTTGGGAATGTCTAGTAGATGTGGTATAACTGGAAGAAGTACATCACTGGGGGTGGGCTTTGAGGTTTCAAAGCCTTGTGCCATTTCCAAGTTACTCTCTCTACTTTGTTTTATCATAGCAATAGAAAAGTGACTAATATGTTCCCATAGTGTATGATTCTTAATTACTCCCATATTATTAATATACTCCTACAGTATATTATTCCAGCACTTCGCAAAGTGCTGAAAGGTGCTTTAGGTTGCTGTGGGTGCACTGTCTTCAACAGTCTTGCCCAACTAAAGACCCCACATGTAACCCTACTGAGTGGCTATCCAAAATGTACCCACTGGCGCAATAGTGACAAGGCCATGTTTCCAGGCGTAACCAACCACTCAGTGATTTAATTTGAGTCTCTCTTTACAGGAGGGGATTTTCAGTTGCCCTACTCAAAACACCATGGCTTGTGATGTTAAAAGTCCTAGTGGGGAAACTACTAATACTATTTTACTAAATGGGCATGCTGTGTCCATCAAATTGCTTTCCAAATAAACCTGTCTATACCTGAAGACCATTGATGATGCCAACTTTGATCAGATAACCTTTGTCCAGCCTGAAGATAGGATACTACAAAGATGGTCATCCTAGCTAGCTGGAATCACTGACAAAAAGGATGAATATAGTTAATTGTTTCTCCACAAAAACAGAGCCAATAGTATGTGGTCAGTCAACCCTTTGTATGTGCAGTTCAGCAAAACTGCGTTGGTGTAGGAAGTCCTTCTGTTTTTGTGTTACTTTCATTGGTTAGTAAAGAAACTGCTTTGGCCTGATAGGGCAGAACTTAGGGAGGCAGAGAAGACAGAACTGAATTCTGGGAGGAAGAAAGCAGAGTCAGAGATGCCATGTAACTCCCAGAGAAAGACATGCTGAATCTTTCCAGGTGAGCCACTGCCACGTGGCAATATACAGATTAATAGAAATGGGTTAAATCAATATGTGAGAGGTAGCCAATAAGAGGCTAGAGATAATGGGCCAAGCAATGATTTAATTAATACAATTTCTGTGTGGTTATTTTGGGGCTAAGCTAGCCAGGTGGCCAGGAAGAACAAGCGGGACCTCTCTCTACAACAATATGTTTAGCTAGTCATAGATCATAAATGGATTTGAGTCTGCATGGTTGTGTCTGTACTGATCGTGTACACATTTTCCCTTCATTTTTATTCCCTAAGCCACACAGCATGACAAGCGTTTCCAGGGTAGTCACATTTATTAGGTGTTCTAAGTTGCCTGGAGGTAATTAAGTACATACAAAGAAAGCAGGTTATACACAAACATCATGCCATTTTATATAGAGGATTTGACTGTCCATGAAAGGAATCTGGGTATCTGAGAGAGGCCTTGATTGACTGATTCTTAGAAATTAGTACATGTGATTGTCAAGGACAACATGCCCAAGTTCTGCAGGGTCAGCTGGTGGAACAGAGTAGGCATGGAGCTAGATGTGAGGGATTCAAGGAAGTTGCAGCTGATTCTTGGTAGCTTGTCCCCTGACCAGGCAGGGAGTTAGATGTAAGGGAGCCAAGGAAACTAAGTACACAGATCTTGGTAGCTGTCTCCTAATAGTAAGAACTTCCCTTGGTGGTTACACATACCACCTTGTGTTCTTCCTTCTATACCAAACCCTGAGCCACTGAGCACTTTCTCCATCACTATACATGTACAATAACGAGGGAGTCTGCATGCTCAAAAAAGTCTGACCTCATTGTAATATCATTAGCACTTGCTTTTCCTTGCCAGCTGTTTAGTATCACGGAAGAATTACCCTGCAAAGGGAGCTTTGTTTTCCCATGATTTAGGAGAGGAAAAAAAGTCACCTTACCCTTATATTTATGACATCTATTTCATAAGTACTTATAAACCTTCATAAATATCTTCAATATTAGGCCTACTGGACTGGCCCCTCCTTTGGGACTGCATAGTCCATTCTCTCTTTGAAGTATATGCTTCACTCGGCTTTGCTAACTGAATACCTGCTTAAACTGTCTGTATCTCTACCTTAAATTCCTCCTTTGGAGAAGATGAGAACGGAGGAGAAACTTTCACTAGGTAACACCAATGACTGGATGGAGTCTTGGGGGATCCAGTGCAAAGGCAGAATTCTCTCTCCTTTATGGTGGGTCAGTTTTTTTTTCCATTAAGATATTCAATTGGTTAGATAATGCTCTCAAATTTAAAAAAGGTCAGATGCAGACATTAACTTTATCAAAAAGTGTCTTCAAGGAAACATTTAAACCTTTGAGTGACCGACTACTTGACTGTTATGGCCTATGTAAGTTGATACAGTAGACAAGTTCTCACCAACTGCTTAGAAAATGTCACTCAAAACAGGTCGAAGAAGGCCACATTTTCATCTTTCTCACCACTTTCTTGCGTGGCCTTCCGGGGACTCCATTCCCTATGTGTTCCCTCATTACTGATTCGTCTTGGGATTCTTTATCAATCCTGCATGCCTCGCCACCGGAAAAAGCCTCCTCATCTTTCACAGTTCAGATCAAATGTTAACTCAGCGAAACTTTGATACCACAATCCATCCAGGAGACTTCATTCCTCCCTGTTTCTCTGCGCTGGGGCTATTTTAGCATCCTTACATTGCCTTGCTTGTATATCAAACTGCAGATCAGCAGCAAGGGTTCAAAAGTATAGGGGGATTTTCCAGAGGTGGCATGTGTTGGAAGGAACTACCAGTCCTAGGGGGAACAAAGGGAAGACATTAGAATTGTGAAGACTTAGAAGCTCAGAGGTGGGGCTTCCATAAAGCTGAATGACTTCAGGCCACTGTTGGTCTGGATCTGATTTATGTGAGTTTGCTGGATGGGATGCATGAGCAAGAGACCCCACTCCAGTAGGAATGGGCATCACCTGTTTGCTTCTCTCTACGTCTTACTTAACTGTCACAAGTGTCTGGAGGTGGGAAATTTTAAAGTATTTTGCTTTGCTTTGTTAGTATGGCTACTTAACTTTGTATGGAATTTGTTCTGTCTTTGCAGTTTCTGTCATAATTGAAGTAAAAAGTGTATATGATCTAAAATAATATAGATTCTGGTACCAGACTTGCTAGATTTCATTCCTCATCTCACCAAGTTACCTAACTTGTCTGTACCTTGATCTTTCCATCTGCCAAATGGAGCTAGAATGGCTCTGGCCACTTGGGACTATGGAGAGGGTTTAGGCAGATAATAGGAGGAAAAGTTTTGGAGTAGTGTTCTGGGTGGAGCTGTTGCTCAGTGGTAAAGTGCCTGCCTAGTATAGGCAAAGTCTGGACTTGATTGGCACCACCAGGAAAAAAATGCGAAAAGAGAAAAGCCAAGCAACTAAGCAAATAAGCCCGTGTCCAGCACAGTAGTGGCCCCGCAGAAACCTACAATTATTTCTACTCTTAGTGTTATTGTTACTAGCTGGTTTCTGTGTCACTTTATTACCTCTTGAGGATATGGACATGATCATAGTTTCTTTGCTCAGCTCCAATACTAGAGAGAACAAGCTGAGTCTTACTGGAGTATATGTGGCCTTGTATGCAGAGATTCCTGCTTGCAGCATCCTTGCAACCTCACAACAAAGCCTGCGAAGTCATTATTATTCCCTTTGACAGATGAGGGAACCGAGAATTAGCCAATAAATGAATTGTCTTGAGTCATACAGAGCTGACAAGTGCAGAGTCTCCAGTTCAGCCTAGCTCATCACAAAGAAGCACCAGCACCCTGGCCATTGGGAGTTGTTCCTGTTTGGCCCAGCCACCCTTTAGACCCTCCATAGCCTTCTTTTTACTACCCAAAACAGGGACATTATGGATCTAGAAGACTGAAAACAGAGAGGCCACTATTGATATACCAGCCTGATTAAGGGCAACGCGTGGGCAGGCGCCAGTTATCAATATAAGATGTCCTCGGGGGTAACTGTGGCCTCTTCCATTTTAGTCTTGATTTCTGGGAGGGGAATTTGACTGATTGCCACCACAACCAAGTTTGCTGCGTGGGCCGAGGCACTTGCCACGCATATCCAAAACGACTCTTCGTACTGTTCTTCTACCACGACAAATTGGAAGATCCTCTCCTGGAAGTTGGCAATTCTTTCTGTCAGGTCGTGGAATTTCACTGCAGCCATGAAACTGCCGATGGCTAGCGCCACGACTCCACCTGAAACCCAAAACAGCGCCTTTATTTCCTGTTCCTCTTAGCAGTTGTAAGGTCTTCACTGGGGTTTGGAGTGAAAATTTGGGGTTTGGAGAATTAGTAGAGCAACACAAATTTGAACTTGCGTTTAAAAGCAGTAGGTGATACACAGTATCAAAGGCAAAAGGGACAGTCCTCTGAAAAAATAATAAATTAATGACAGGCAGACTTGAATCTGGATGCCTCAAACTCCTCTTTCCGGTAGTATCCCCATTAGAGGACCACTCTTTAGACACCTTACGCCTTCTGTGTAGAGAGTGTTGTGTAGGAAGAGCTAAGACCCTATTCTTCAGGGTGAGGCTTCACCTGTCTGCTGCACTGTTCTACAGAAGATGGGAAGTAGTGAGGAAACTCTGGAATTCCAAACCTCATTTACTTCCCTAGCAACTGAGCAAAACTTGGAAATTGTTCGGTGGGTCCATTTTAATTTAAATTGACAATCAAAAAAGACACACTAAACTGAGTCTGGTCGTGCAGGTCTGTAATGCAAAGGCTTGAGAGGCTGAGGCAGGAGGATTGCAAGCCTGAGGACAATTGACCCACACAAAGAGTTCTCTTTATCACTGGCTAGATACGGGCCAGAGGACTAAGCCTGCGTTCGGGGACACTGTGATCCTCCTCACTCACTCATTGGAGTTCCCCTCCCTTTTCACCATGTAGCTTAGCCACTTACTGACCTCCCTTGCTGAAACTGCCTGCTTTCTTGAAGTCATGGGCTTCCTCTCTATCATCCCCCTCCTCCTGGCAGCTACCAAGATTTACAGCTTGTTTTTCTCTCCAACTCCAACAGCAATGTCCCTTAGCATCCTGCTGAGCATGTTTTAAAATTCTTTTATTAACAAGATAGGGAGCCTGAAAGAGGAGCTTCAGGTTCCCCTGGTTAACGCTTGGAAGACCAGCCTGATGGTGTGGCCACCACTTTCCCTCCCTTGGGGGCTCCTTACCTGCCAGGACATTCCAAAGGCAGATGCCACCAGGGCCATTGACTGCCCTGTAGGGAACCTGAATGATGTTGAGAATGGCAAAGCCCATGCTGACCAGAGCGAGGGCCAAGGCCAGGAAGAGGAGCAGCAGAATTGTGACGTGGAGGCTTGCATTGAGTTCCTTTACCAGATGTGGGAAGACTGCAGAGAGAGATGGATTTCAAGGTCAGGGCTTGGCTCCTTTCACAATTTCAGGACTCGCTTATCCCAAGACAAGTAAGTAAAGGATAGGGAAAAGCCAAGAGACTTCCTGAGATGGGTCCATGGCCCCTAGAGTTACCACTTGTCAGTTGGCTGGAAATCCTCGCTGTGGTGGAGCGAGCACAGATCTGCACGTGCCCCACAGTGGACTGAGCCTGCAGTCCTGGGATCTGATGTCGACCGCTGCAGTTCACACAAGCCCCAGGCACTGGCTGGGCGGGGTAGACGCTATTGCTGCCACGTATTTCAGACACTTAGTGCTCACATTGTATACTACTTCGTGAAAATAATCAATTTTCCCTAGGAAGGTGGCTGAAGAGGTTAGTGAAACATTTGTATTTGTTTCTCTACGTTTGCCACTGGTGCCAGCAGAGAAAATGAAATGATTCACTAAGAGGGGTTCAAATATTGTCCAGGGCAATCTAAGTCTGTTCTCAGAAATGGTATCTGTGGGTATTGCTGTTGTTAATTGTACTGTCTAACGTGGGAGAGTCGCGTGGCCTCTGTGAGAAGCTAGCAATGGCTGTGTGAGAGAAGGGTGATTGTCGTTTGCTGAGCACAGTTAGGGCCTGAGCTCTTCGGAGTCATCATCTCATTCGCTGATCATGACAAGGCATCTGGAGGTTGTCAACTCCCTTCACCCCCAAGCTTGGAAACATGGAGTTCATTGTCTTTGGGTAAGGCACCCTGAACTATATATAGAAGTTAGAATATATATAGAATATACAGTCCTGTGTATTATGAGGTATAATGAGTTTAAGGTCAGTTTTAACAATTCTATATAGAAATTTAAAATAATGAATACAAAAGAATCCCATCCCTTAGCAGATTTCAAGGTTGGCACCTCTCAAGCTTGAAAAGTAGAGGGTGTTTTTTTTGTTGTTGTTTTTTGTTTTCTTGTTTTTTTTATTGTTTTAGACAGGATCTCATTATATAGTCCTGGCTGGCCTGGAATTGGCTGAGTAGAACAGGCTGGCTGGCCTCCAACTCACAGAGATTCACCTGCTTCTGCCTCCTGAGTGTTGGAATTGAAGCATGCACCCCCTTGCCGGGCAGGAGTGAGAACCTTTGTTCTCCTTGTGCTATGTCATGCCAGTGTTTCCAGGCACCACCCACATTTACATCCTGGGCTATTTTTTTAATATTATTTTTTATTTTATGTGCGTTAGTGTTGGGTCCCCTGGAATTGTAGTCACAGACTGCTGTGAGCTGTCATGTGGGTGCTGGAAATTGAACTCAGATCCTCTGGAAGAGTAATCAATGCTCTTAAACGCTGATCCGTCTCTCCAGCTCCCACATCCTGGATTCTTACTCAACTTTCTTTCCACTTCTGTGCTTTCCTTTGTCATTATCTCTGCATGGTCAACTCACTGGCTTTGGAAAGTTTAGCTGGGAGATGGGCTCTTTTCCAAGGAGTTTGTCTTTCTCGGGCATTGTTTTCCCCTTTGCTTCCATTCCAGCTCCCTTCTTGAGACTCAACATCCACTTTTCAAACCCCGAGTCTCTTCTTATCCCAGATATAGTAGCTTAACCTAATTACCCGTCTCGTTGCTCCCTTTCTAGATCATGCGATCCTTAGGATGCATGACTCTTAGAGCAACCCCCATTCAATCCTTAAAATGCAAAACAGTCCTTCACATGGTTGGCAAAATTAAAAACTCCCGTTGATGATGGTGCAGGAAAAAGGCACTCTTGAATCTTGTAGGGATGCTCAGTCCCACATCCCCATTACAAGGCAACATCTATCAAGGTAATTTAATTGCTAGTCATTGTTGTGTATGTAGATTGAGTGTTCATTACAATAGTTAACGTTTGGAGATAGAGGAATTACTCCAATACACAAATTGGTTGAATAAATTTAGTTATGACATCACAATCCAGATTTTAGAAAGAACCAGCCACATGTACATGATGTAATTGGAGCTGACTAGAAATTGACGCCATATTATGATGATGAAAAAGAGGAAACCTGGGACACAAAGAGTGATGAGGGAAAGGAGGTAAAGTGTACTCACTCCACAGCCTCCAGCGGAGTGTCTTAATTATATATACAGACTATTGGCACAGGGTGAATCTCTTCCTAACGCTCACATCCATATGTGTTACTCCCGACTCAGGATCTTTCAGGAAACTGAGGCTTTAATTAACGTTTATAGTCACTATTTAGAAATTCAAGAGTTTCAACTTAGCAGTTCTTTCCATTAGCCCCCCCCCCACCCCGGAAATAGGGTTTCTCTGTTGTAGTTCTGTCTGTCCTGAAACTCATCATGTAGCCCAGGATGGCCTTGAACTCAGAGATCTGCCTGCCTCTGCCTCCTGAGTTCTGGGTTTCCATTAGTTTTTGAGAGGAACTCTACATTTTACCCTGTTGCACTGTGCTGCCCCCAGAAAGCTGTGGCTCACTCCTCTTCCACTGTTTCCAAGAATTTTAGACATCTGCAACTTAATGAAATTAAGCTCTGCAGCTTGGAATCCACAGCGATGAACACAGCAGATCCATGGCCACCATGGCCACATATTAGTATTTAAACTTAGATAATTTGTCTGTTCCTGATTCCAGAGACGTGATCTTTTGCCCTGGTGAGACAAACAAATATTCCCAGAATTGGAAGCCAGACCCAGGTTTTGGCTTCTGGGGAGGTAATTCTGGGGTAAGAAGTAAGGAGGGGACTAGACAGCTAAACTGACCATACTGTATGGTAGGTATATTCACATAAATAAAATGTCATCATAAAATCAGGATAGAGAAAATGAATCACAGGGGTGGCTTCAGAGATTCTCCAGTGACTAAAGTCTAGTCCGAGTGAGCTCCATGTCTCATGCTGCATAGCCAACTTTTCTGGACAGACAGTTGTCTGCTCAGTTCATCCCTCTTTTCCTAGTGGTGCCTGGCTTGTAGCTACTCAGCAGGACACCTGAATGCACACATGCCATGCATTTAATGCTTGTCGCTTTCTTTCTGCAGCCTCTCCAGCATTGCTTTTATTTCAGAAGTCCAGAAGCTGTTTGTAAATAAAACACAATAAAAACCCCCTAGTCTAAGCACTTCCGCAAGCTCCTCTCTCCGCCCTGTGAACAAGGATCTTTTTCTGTGGACCTTCAGAAAGCGGGAAATCCTGTTCAGGGTGGAAAATGATAAAATACCCTGAGTTACTTTGAGTTTACAGTGTACTGCCCTTGAGAGCCATGTTCTGAAGGAAATTAGGCTGTCTCTAGAGAAATAGTAATACACACAATGTCCCTACAGCACATGATCGCAGGAAAAAGCTGCCTCAGGCTTCCTGAGAGCTTTCAAGCTTCGTCTTGTCCAAGGTACTGTGAATGAACACATGATACACCCTCTGGGATGACCTGACAGCAGCTGAAGACAAAACATTCTTAAATATTTCGTGATTCACAGATGAAAATGAAACACCTATGCATCTCACACATTTTTGATGCTTGAGACCTGATTTCACTAGAGGAAACAGGGTCTCTCACAGAATTCAGAGCAATGCCGGCAGCCAGCAATCTGCCTGTCTCTACTTTTGATAGCACTGGAGTTACAAGTTTGCACGTGACCATGCCTGGGTGCCTCTCCAGGACCTTAGGTTGTGGTAATGGAATTATTTCCCTAATAATTAAGTTCCATTTTAATTTCTGGGTGAATATAAATATACTCAGAGATTTTTTTCTCAGATATTATGAACATGTCTTTCCTTTCTATATAGAAATGAAGACCATTTGTATTATGTTTGTCAAGGGGAACAACAACTAATTTTCTGTATTTAGTGAGATGCATATCCTGGCCATGGTTTTGAACATTCCCACAGTTCTGAGATATAGAAATCAAGTGACGGGTGAGATTTCCAATTCCCATGTGATAACAAGTCACTGATTAACTATAGGTTTGTGGGACACTATTCTTATTACTGATCTAATTGACTGTTTTCCTTCTTTTGCTTTCTCTTTCCCAGAAGATCTTCCCCCAAGCCTTTTTTGGACTCCAGTCTTAGGTCTTTGTGGGCCTACTTCGTTTATCTTCTGAGCTTTGAGCTTTGAACTCAGGCCAGTGCTGCTGGCTGCTCATCTTTAAACCATTAAGCGCCCTCCTCAGTCTCCTTGCCAGGAAACGTGTCAACAGCTCTTCAAACCCCAGAAGTACGCTCCCAGTAAAGTCGCTGTGCTGTTCCTCAGGCTATGAAGCTTCCGCACACAAGGGTGTGGGACAGTTTGCCATGCTTCCCGGAGGTCCCCTCCTGCGGGCATTCTGCACCTGTACACCGTCGTAGTGAAGACTGCCAGAGTCACATGCCATGGGTCTGGCATCTGGTTCTGTTGTTTCTGGGCAGAATGAGTGACCCCCCCAAATGAATTATGTAACTCTCAAACCTCAATGTACTCTGCTGAAAAATGGGAGCATTCATGGTGCCTTCATTGTAAGTGCGTTGTAGAGCTTGAAAGAGCCAGGTAAAGAACCAGGCAATGTGCAGCTTCCAGTGGGCGGCCTACCACACGAGCACTCGATGTTTTACTAATCATTATTACTAGAAGTAACCTGCAAACTATACAAATTCCTACTTCTAGGATTTTTGTTTATCGTTTTTAGAAAACAAAGGATGTTGGTGGCCTATAGACTTCAGCGTTATGTCTTAGATAGGCAACAGTCAAATCTCATTTAAACGTAAGCACTCCTGCAAAGCAAAAAATGCACACCCCAGTTTATGTGCCCCAATATGCTCACACGCCCCAATATACTCACTTGTAAACTGGGACTGGCGGCCTCCGAGCCCACACTGCCGTACTTTACAACCTCGGAAGAGCCCATAGTAAATGTCCCCGATGAATTTGACCAGTTCTGGGTCTGTGGCATTGACCAGATCCACTCCAGTTTGACACAGGATCTTCCCACTTAACCAATGGGGCACAGCCAAGGCGACGATGATCAGCAGGAAGGAAGCGAAACTGAGTAGAGATGCCAGCCCGTACCACGCCTTTTTGAACCATCCAGGCATGCTAGTGAGTGCAGGTCACTAGCATGGACATCTTCCCGACACTCGACACCTGCGTGCTCCATACACACCACCTCAAGACCTGCAGTCCGTCTCCTCAGCCTCCTTCAGGGCCTGCCTTCTCGGCGTGTGTTTACTACAAACACATCCCCAGCCTCTGCAGATGATCTTCCCTTGACTCGACAGAGCCGAGTGTGTTACCCAAGGAAGTAACCCTATATCTCCCGCTGGACTAGGGTTTCAGTAGAGGCTTTAATTGTTCCTCCGTTCAAGTATTTAAGTCATCGTGATGTGGGCATCATAATGACCAGAGAGTTATTACCAACCCAACCCAGGGAGAACGGCCGGCAAAGGATGCTAAATAGACTTAAAAAAAAAACAAACCTGCACGGTAGAAGCAAAGCAGAAATAGGCCCATTAGCACGCGCATGTATTAGCAACAATGGGCAGGATCAAATGTCGAGCTCTTCCAGGCGTGCCCTGGCATTTCTTTCTCTAAAATGTCACTGCTGTCAGAATCCCTGGAACGGTTACTGATACCATTACTTGACCCTGGTTCATAAGGCTTACACTGAAATATATGGCTTAGCATTCTATGAATTTGTTGCTGGCTGAATTGTAATATGCAATCTGTTTGTTGTGACTGCTGGGCCATCCTATCCCCTGCCCCCACTTTTCCATGGCATCTGACATAGGCCAGATACTTTTAGTTCTTTATTTATTTTTTTCTTTTGGTACATTTCCCCTATGCATCTCAGACCTTGAATTTTCAGAGAGTCCTCTTTCCTAATATGGCTGTTAGGGTTATAGGAGTGAGGCTTGTTATCACCTAAAAGTCAAGATCTATCCATCTATATACTTACCTATCTCTATCTATCTATCTATCTATCTATCTATCTATCTATCTATCTATCTATAATCTATCTGTCTATCTATCTATCAATCTATCTACCTATCTATAATCTATCTGTCTGTCTATCTACCTATCTATCTATCTATCTATCTATCTATCTACCAATCACCTATCATCTATCTACCTATCCATCTGCCTATCTATCCATCTATTATTTTTCTTTCATCTATCTATCTATCTATCTATCTATCTATCTATCTATCTATCTATC